GAGGACAGGCCAGCCCCTTTCAGGCACACTTGGAGTGAGTTCCCGCTCAAGACAAGAGCTTGCAGGGCATGACCTTGGAGATTCTTTACGAAGTCTGTGTACCTGTGAAGGAGGAAGCCTGAGTCAGAGGGAGTGTGTTAGAGTCAGGCCTCTGGGACAGGGGCCCTGAGAGGCTAAGGCTGGAGCCCTCAGCTGAAGGGGCTGCCCTGGGCACCAGGGCAGGGAGCCCGCACCAGTGTGGGGAAGGGTACCACTCCCAAGTAAGAGCTGAACAAAGACCTCAGGGGCTGAGTGGGTGCCCCGGGGGAGCCAGGCCTGGCACTCCCAGGGATGGAGTGGGGCGGGAAGGGTTTGAACAGACTTGACAAGCTCACTGATGGGCACCGGGCTTATCACGGTATACACTTACTAGTTGTAGGATCTCGGGGAACTTGGGACAAATCCCTTTGCTCTCTGAGCCTTTGTTTACTCGTCTGTCAAGTGGGGATTTAAGGGGACACTTTTGAGAGAAGATTGGCACTAACCTGTTGAGCACAGTGCTTGGGATCTATTTGGTACTCAATAAATGGTAGTTAGTCCCCTCTATTCCACAGCAAGTGGGAGCCCATTGCAAGTGCTCAGTAAACATTTGGGTCTATAGAACAAGGGGTGGCTCCAAGGGATTATGGTGATCAAAGGTAAGATGAACTTTGTAGGATGCTACATGTTTAAAAGCTGCTCCCAGGGACAGATGCTTTGTCTGTTGCGGGTGCAATGAGTTTTCACATTGTTCACATTCAGGAGAAGCTTATTGAGGGAGGGTGTGGGACTGGACTGCCTATAGCAGTCCCTTAGAAGATCACACATTCTCTCTCTTTTTTTAAAAAAAGTTTTATTTATTTATTTGACAGAGAGAGACACAGCTAGAGAGGGAACACAAGCAGGGGGAGTGGGAGAGGGAGAAGCAGGCCTCCCGCGGAGCAGGGAGCCCGATGCGGGGCTCGATCCCAGGACCCTGGGATCGTGACCTGAGCTGAAGGCAGATGCTTAATGACTGAGCCACCCAGGAGCCCCAAGATCACACATTCTTGATGAACCCTTAATGCAGACACACCTGCACAAACCTTTTTCAGTTCTGTTCAGTGGAGACAGACCCCCCAAAACCCAACAAAGTAGGGCCCTGGACAGGCCACCCAGAGTCCTTGTCCAGCAATGACCACAGTCCAGTCCCTAGTTCCCATCCACCCCAGCCTAGTCTCTGGAACTCCAGCCCACCTTTCCTTAATCTTCTGTGGCTCCTCCGGCAGATGCCTCCTGTTGCCTGCAGTTGGCAGCACTGGGGAGGGGGGGTGCAGCGGCAGAGAGACAGACAGAGGAGGCCCCTAACACAGACCTGACCTGCAGGGACTCCAGAGCAAATGCAGACCAGTATTCTGGAAACATGACTTTAAGTAGGAGACACTTGGGGACTTGGAGGGCTGGACAGCAGTGAAGAAGCCACCACCCCTGGAGGGATCAGGGCAGCTTTCCAGAAGTGGGCACATTGGTAGGATATGGACATAAAAAAACACGGGAAAAAAATGACATTCCTGATAGCTCAGAGGCTACAATCAAAATTTCAGCGTGTACCAGGATTTGTCCAACTTTGCTGGAGTAAAGAGTTTGTGGAGGAAAGTTATGAAGATCAAGCTAGAAAGACAAGTCAGGGCCAGCTTTTGAATGCCCTTGCATTCCAGACTAAGGAGATCTGTCCATACCACACACTTTGTGCACCTGCTGTGAGAACGGAAACAGTAATTCAGACTCTATCCCTGACAGTGACGAGTCTGGATGGGAGCAGGGGGGTTGCCTGAGAACCCCGAAGGAGGTATCTGGAAAAAGCTTGATAAACCAGATCCAGGGAGAGATTGAGGATCTGTTTCTTTTAAATCGTGCCAGGGTGGGAGAAATAAAAAGAAAAAAAAAAGGAACTTCTGGGAAGAGGACTGCCTCAAGAGAAGAGCCCTGTAGTCGTAGGGATGATTGGCTCATCTGTGCACACCCTGCCCAATGTTACAACGGTGTCAGTGCTGCCGCGGACTGGACACCCCACATGTGGCCCAAGCCACAGACAAAGAAAAAAACACACGTAGAATGTAAATATCACCAAGCTCAATCGTGAAAACATCGAGGGTCAGGCAGCTGAAGGTGGGAAGCAGATGTGGGGGCACAGAGCAAAGGGAACGACAAGGACGCTGATAATGTTGCCATACCATGTGAAGAGATAACAGCCTGCAGTGGATGGATCGAGAAAGGTCCAAGGCTGCTGCTTCAATTATAAAGACGACTAACAGAGGAAGTCAAGTAGGTGTATAAGTAATTATGCTGCAATGTGTGAGCAGGGGAGGCAGGCTGTGGTTTTAATGACCTTCCTCATCAGTAGCAGGACTCAAGAGGTAACACGTAAAATATAGGACAACAGCCAGCCACAAAGACATTTCTTTACCAGTGTGGAAATAAGGATCAGAATAAAGCATTAAACAAGGTAAAAGGTGATTCTTTCCGGGCAGTGAAGGTAAAGGAGAAACAGAGGGGAATTGACAGGAAACTGTTGTCTGTAACCCACATGTGTCTAATTTTGATTTGAGAAAAATGAAGCATGTAGTCAAAAGAATTGGTTCTTTGGCCAGAGAAAGATTGTTTGGGTATTAAAAAAAAAAAAGTATTTATGTATTCAACTTTGGGTGAGTGAACATTAGCAAGGCACAATGTGTGAAAGACACCTCCTTCGCCCCCAGTCCTAATTTTCCTAGTCTCCCCTAGAGACAACCAATGTTAGCACTTTTTCTTCTTTCCAGTGAGGAAATACACATACAAGGGAATCTATACACAGTCTGTACATCTTCCACTTCCCTTCCCGCTACAATGTTTCCTAAAAACACAAACAGTAGCTTTTTACAACTGCTGTCATCACCTTCCTTTTCTTCAATTCATCTCAGAGATGGTTGTGTCAGCAATGAGCTTCCTCATTTGCCTTTTTTTTTTTTCTAATAGCTGGGTGATATTCTCACATGGGTGTAGCAACAAGATACGACAGTGCCTATTTCCCCACAGCTGCACCAGCAGTGTGTCATCAGACTTTTGGTTTGTCATCGTTAGAGGGGAAAAAAGGTATCCCAGCCAGAGTTTTGATTTTGCGTTTTCTTTTATGTGTGGGGTTGAAAATCCCTTCATATGGTTAAAAGCCATTTGTATTTCTTTTTTTCTGTAAACTGAGTATTCGTATCTTTTGTCCATTTATGTTGATTTGGTTTTTTTTCCCTCATTAATTAGTGGGGCTCATTATGAGGCAAACTAGTCCTTTGACTCTTAATAATAGCAAATATCTCGTTTGTCTTTTGACTTTGCCTGTAGGTCTTTGTCATGCATCAGGCTTTGATTTTTCTGTAGGCAGATTTTCTCATCTTTTTGGTTAGGTTTTCTGGGGTTTGTGTCATAACTCAGGAAGGCCTCCTGGGGAGTAACAGAAATAGTCCCATGATTTCTTATAGGACTTTTCCTCTTTCTTCTCCTTTCTTTAATCATTTAAATCTTTTATCTATCGGGAATGTCTATTCGTGTGAAGTGTGAGGTGCATATCTAACCTACCTTTTTTTTTTCCAGCAGGCTAGTGAGAGTGTTATTTTGGGGAGGATGGGCATAGGGTCCGGAAGGTAGGGTAGTGAGCAGAGAATAGGAAGAAGTTTCCCTGGCAGTGGGTGTAGAAGAAACTGGAGTGACATGCACAGTCAGGAACTGCTGAGATCATCCAGGTGAGAGGTGAACCCAGGGAGGCCTGAACTAGGGCAGAGGCAGCAGATAAGGTAAGAAGTGGGGAGAGGGTCCTGGAAATAAGAGTCCATAGGACTCAGTTACTGGTTCAGTGGGGAAAAGCAAAAAAAGATGCCTGTTCCTGCCTGGGTGATCTATTATTAGCAGAGAGAACTCAGTGTTGTAATTTCTGGCCTCACAGAAGCAAGGTACAAGGATTCAGAATCAAAGACTGAAGATTCCCTGGGACACCCCCAGAAGATGTTCAACAGGGTGTTGGGAAGGTGGGAGGGAGTATCAGAGATTGGAGGAGGAACTCCCCACTGCTCTCTTGGGGGCCAAGTGAAGGAGTTACACATTCGGTTCCTTGCCTGGACAGGGTGCACCCCACCCTGAGGGCGATGGCATTCATCTCATCTGTTGGAGGGACTGGTTCCTGACAGACTGGACCTGGAAGTCTAGAACTGGGGCCACAGGAATAATCCTCTCTTTACACAGGACTTTACTGTTTTCAAAGTATTGGTTGTTGGTTGGTTGGTCCTGTTTTTAAAGATGGAGAATGGGCTCTGAAGGCAGGGAGTTGCCCACTGTTCGAAAGGAATTCGCAACAGAGCGCGTAGTACTACTCCTCCTAATGGCAATGACTTCCATTTCTAGAGCACTTACTACTGCACTGAGTTAAATCCCTTAGGAACACGAGTAATACTGCCTGATCCTCCTGACCCTATAAAGTAAGAACGACAGCAGGAGGCAGAGGTGGGACTCAGACCCACCAGCCAGGCAGCCAGACCTTCCACGCCCGAGGGCCCTCCGCCCCCTCCCCGCCTCTTCGGTCCAGTCCGCGCCCCCTGCCTGGTCACTTCCCGTCCTCCGCCCCAAGCAGGTCCGCATTCTGGTCCGGGCCCTCTGCGGTCAGGTTGCCCCGACGCGGGTAAGGGCACTGGGCGGTGGAAGAGAGAAAGCGCGAACACACGCGAGCGGCAGCAGGCCAGGCCCCACGGCGCACAGCCATGGCCCCGCGGTGACCCACGAGGCGGGCTGGCGGGCCGGGGCAGGGGCAGCGCGAACCGCAGCAGCAGGAGCACCGCGCGCCGAGGCTCCGGCCTCCTGCAGAACGCGAGGCGAGGCCGCTGAGGGGGCGTGGCCGTGCCGGGCCGTACCAAGAGCTCGGATTCGCCGGGGGGGGGGAGGCTGGCCCCAAGAGCGCGCGGCGCGGTTGGGCGGGGCGGTGCCCCCGACGGCCACGCCTCCACCCCCGCGGCCGGCACTGGCGGTGGTAGCGTCTCAGTGGTGCGGGCCTGCGTCCTGCTCAGGTGGCCGCAGTGTTGCCGGGCAGCCCGCGGTGAGTGCGCGCTCTCGTGGTCGCGGGGTTGCGAGGTCAGGGCGCCGGGGTTCAGGGTGCCGGGGTCCGGGGCCCGACGGCTTTCGGCCGCTTCGGCTGCCCGGGCCCTCGGCGCTAGGGCGGGCTCTCGGGCCGGGTCGCTGCGTGTCTCAACTGACGCTCGCGCGGAAAGTGCAGCTTTCTCCCTGGTCCTTCCCGGGGCGGCCTTTCCCCTCGAGCTGACCTCTCGCGGCGCCTGGAGGGTCGTGGTTTCCGCGGCCCAGGGCGCCCGACGGACCCCACGGCCGAGGGTCGAGTGTTAGCGTCAGAGGGCTCGGGCTCCAGTCTCCGCGCCGTCATCCTCAGCTAAGCCACTTTTCCTCTCTGAGACTCAGTTTCCCCGTCTGTACAATGGGCCTCAGGAGGAGGGCAGTTATTGAGGTAACTCACGTAGGAGACGCTCGATGAATGTGACTGGGACCCGAATCTGACCCTGCAGCATCAGGTGGGCTCAATCGAGGGCTCCGGGGAGCCTGCCAGCCCCGCCTCTCCTGAGAATCGCTCTGGGTGCGGGTAAGGGCATCCCTGGGGGGCAGTGCTCCTCCCGGGCACGTGTCTCGGTGGCAGCTGCGACACGTCTTTGCCGGGCTCTGCTGGGCAGCCGTGACACCCTTAGCGTGACACCCTTAGTAACTGGGTAAGAGGTCGAGGTCTCCTGGGAGGCGATGGGGCTGCAGGGAACTTGACCTCGAATTTTTGCTTACATTTCTCCAGACCGTTGTGTAAGCTGGTGAACAGTACTGAAGAGTTTGGGTCCACTTCAGAGAACGTGGCTGCCTCCTTTTCTTAGACCCATAAAACACAGTCTTCCCTCTGAGCTTGGCCAAACTGGAGAGTAGTGGTAGCACCAAGGGAGACTGGGCTGGAGTGGGTAGTTCTGGGTTTGAATCTTGGCCCCTTGGCAGGACACTTAACTTCTCCGAGCCTTTGTTTCCTCCTCAAGGGGTACAGATAGCGATGCAGCCCACTCTGCCACCCACACAGGGTTGAGGTTCTGAGGCTCAAAAGAGAGGGTCTTGGTCTTGGAGGGTGACATTGAGAATTGTAATATTCTGTACACGCGGAACAGTTAACTAACCATCTGGGATCCAGTGCCCCCACTGTGCAGTGCTGTAATTCCTTAGGCCCTCTCATTTGGGGACAGGACCTTGATTAACTACTTCCAAGTTCCGCCTGTACTGATCCCCTCTGAGTGGTTGTGGGTTGGCTTGATCAGGAACAGTCCAAAGGTCCCAGTTGGTAGAGCAGCGAACTCAGAAGGGATCGCTTTTCTCTGTGTCCCTCTAAGGAGGTCTTCTTTTCTTTTTGAGAGAATGGGCAGTTCTTGAGCTGCTCATGATTTTCTTAGCAGCTGAGATGAGAAACTGTGTCATTGGGCAGAGAGCTTAATCATTGTCTCAATTGTCCAAAAAAACAGGGCTGCATTTAAGAGAATGGAGTATTAGCTTCCAGTTGTGTTGAGGTGTTGAAAACTTTTGGGGGTGGGGGGTCATAATTCTCCAAAATTCTTCATGTCTAGCATTTGGAAAAAGAGAAGATAGGTTTGAGATGCAGGGAACCCCAGGGATATACTTCAGCACCTGAAAACCGGGTTGACCTCAGCCGACATGAGTAAGGCAGGTGAATACTTCTGGGTGGTACGAGTTTGTAAATGGCCACAGGATTTGTTGGTTGCCTGGCAAACCTGAAATTTTAGGATCTGCCAGTGACTCCCTTAACCCCTTGAAAATCAGGATCTGAGTTAGGTTAAGTCCGCCTGTGTTCAGGAGAGTATTTGGAATCAGAACTGCTTGGCACATCTAGAACATTTATTGGCTAGACCTATGGAACGTTTCAGGTTAATAAGAATTTAGCTCTTAAGCAGTTTTTATTCCCCCCCACCCCCGATGGAAGCTTCTGTAGTTGCAGGACCTTCCATGGTTCCAGAGAGCCCAGCTGCCCCTGCAGCATCTCTGCTTCCTTGTGTTTTAGGAAGGAGCAAAGCACAGGATGGGGGGAGGAGGGGTCCAGGAACCTGACTTCCAGCTCAGGCACTAACACCATGTGCCTTTTGGCAAACCACCCCAGGCCTGTGGGCCTCAGTTTAGTGCTTTGGGATTTAACTTATATGTCAGATTCATTTAAAAATTAAAATCAGAAAAAAATGAAATGGAGAAATGGCTGTTTTTATAAAAATGTGTTTTTTTCTGTTTACAGAAATATTAAGTGCTCATTAAAAAAAATAAAACTATTAAGAAATATGCAGTGTAGTTAGCATCTCTCATAGCCTTATACTGAGATAAAAAAAAAAATCACTGCTAGTGGTATAGTATACGTTCTCCAGGTATTTTTTCACATATAAAAACATTTATTATCTAAATTTTTTTTTACTTAAAACAACAGAAATGTGCTACTATTTAATTTTACTATAAATTTCAAACACAAAGTCATGCTGTCAGTCATACTGTTTTTGAGGCTTGCTTTTAATTACTTACCATGATATATCACTGTGTAAAGCTCTACCTCATTCTTTTTTCTTTCTACCTCATTCTTTTTTTTCTACTTCATTCTTTTTTAAAACCTCATTCTCTTTAAAAATGACAGAATATTCCAGTAATTGGTATTATTGAAAAAATGTGTTTTTGCAGCTTTTTGCTCTTATGAATTCTGCAGCAGTGAGTAGCCTTTGTTCTTTTTTTTTTTTTAAGATTTTATTTATTTATTTGAGAGAGAGAGAATGAGAGAGATAGAGAGCATGAGAGGGAAGAGGGTCAGAGGGAGAAGCAGACTCCCTGCCGAGCAGGGAGCCCGATGTGGGACTCGATCCTGGGACTCCAGGATCATGACCTGAGCCGAAGGCAGTCGCTTAACCAACTGAGCCACCCAGGCGCCCAGCCTTTGTTCTTTATCTTTGTACGATTGGGCAAATATTTTTGTATTATGAACTAGAAGAGCTGGATCAATGCTCATGAACTTTTCAATGCACTCATTTAACAAATACTGAGTACTACATGCCAGGCACTATTTAGCTGTTGGAGTTTTAGTAGTCAACAAAACAGACAAATCCTCCATGGATCTGATCTCTTCCTGGGGGCAGACAACACACATGATTTGTCAAATGATGATAAATAATTTGAGATACAACTTTTTGTTATATATCAGATTCATTTAAAAATTAAAATCCGCAAAAAAAGTGAAATGGAGAAATGACTTGTTATAAGAATGCATTTTTTCTGTTTACAAAAAAACTAAGTGTTCCTTATTTAAAAAAAAGACTCTTATAGAAATGTGTAATACAAACAGTCCTTCAGAGCCTTCCACTGAGACATTTCCTTTACGGAGAAAAATAATACAAAGGGGTGTGTGTGTGTGTGTGTGTGTGTATAGAAATGGTGTGACTTTCAGTATCAGTGGGTATTAAACTTCCCTCCAAAAACATTCCCTTGTTATGTTCCCACCAGCAGAGACTCACGTTTTTAAATTCAGAATTCTCAGGTCGGTTGTGAAGATGAACTGCTAATGGCAGAGATGCTTTTATTTCAGGAAAATTTGTGCTAGAATCTGTGCTAAGGTTGTATTATGTATGCACAACATTGTGTGTGTGTGTGTGTTTTAATTCCTCTGATGACCCCAAAAGGCTAGTTTTCATACCCACTTAACAGCTGGCGGGCGGGGGGCATCTCAGAGATGCAATCATTTGCTCAAGGCTAAGGGTGAAGCTGAGGCCTCACCCAGGACTGTCTGCTTCCAGAGCCCTCACCTTCCTTTTGTGCTGTGTTAGATGATTATTCCTCCTTGCTTCCAGTACCAAGGCACCAGTAAGTATGTCTGTCTTTTTTAATTAAAAAAATTTTTTCTGGTGTGGGGGCCCTGGGTGTCGCAGTTGGTTAAGCGTACGCCTCTTGATCTCAGCTCAGGTCTTGATCTCAGGGTCGTGAGTTTGGACCCCACTTTGGGTTCTGTGCTGGGTGTGGACCCTGCTTAAAATCCTCTCTCCCTCTCCCTCTGCCCCCACACACCCCTCTCACGCTCTCTCTGAAAGAAAAAAAAGAAAAGGATGGTTACCATAAAAAGCCATATGTAAAGATTGTCCTCGGATGCAGGGAGGTGAATTGGGAGGGTGTGCAAGGAGAGCATGCTCTACAAGCTTAGGTGCCCGTAAGTATGTCTGTCTTGTATGTCTCACTGTACATTTCATTATAGTGTAAGAAACATAAATGAAATGAGTATCTTGGGGAGATAGGTAATGCCAGTTCTCTATTATTATTATATAGGCTACAGAACAAAGCTGCTTTTTCTGTGCAGTTCTGTTGTCTGGCATTTGATAGAAATGTAGACTCACCTGGCAGGTGGGGAGAGGCTCCTGGGGCCGAGGTAGCTTACCAGCTTATACAGGCGTTGGCCCACGCCAGGCCTTCTGTCTTCAGCCATGGAGTGGGAAAAAGAATCCTGCTTCACCTGCCTCCTGGAACAGTTCAAAAGGTGTTTACTTTTCAGCAGTTAATGCTTCCCATTCTTGGCAGTGTTTCCATCCCTGTAGAATGACACTTCAAAGACCTATCTTTGGCCCTCAGGGTCTAAGCTTCTGTGTTTAGGGCCTGGTTCAGGCACTTGGGAATTCTTCTAATAGTTTGTTTTTTTAATTTTTTTTTTAAAGATTTACTTATTTATTTTGAGAGAGTGAGAAAGAGAGAGAGAGGGTATATGAGAGCGGGGAGGGTTAGAGGGAGAAGCAGGCCCCTCGCCGAGCAGGGAGCCGGATGCGGGACTCGATCCCGGGACTCCAGGATCATGACCTGAGCCGAAGGCAGTTGCTTAACCAACTGAGCCACCCAGGCGCCCCCAGGCACTTGGGAATTCTAACAAGGCAGGGAACCGACATAAACAGTTATAGCAGAGTGTGTGGGGTTCGTTCTTGAGATAATGCATGTGAAGTGCTTGTCCTTGGTGCTGAGCCCACTGTGTACACTCAGGGGAGCACT